GATTAGATTACTGTTCGCAAATAGTTAAGGATGTGGGCTGTTCTAGTTTTAGGGAAATTTAGGGATTAGTTCAGGACAGGAAAGGGTGGAATTAGTTTTAGGACTGACGACTTATGATGACAATAAAATTAAAATTTGCAGAGGCCCAAACCACAAAATGGAATAAACACAATTGGAATCACAAACAAACATTAAGGCTTTTATCTTAATTTGTCACCCCTGAAACAAACAACAAGATTCTTATGTGATTGATTCATTCAAGCATGTCTTCTAGAGGCTATAATTGATAGAAATCGGCAATCATTCTTTAAAGGATCTTAACTCTATTAATTTTATATTTTGATTTGTTAAGTGTATTTTTTATAAAATGAAAGTGTTAGTCTGCAGATATACAACGTAATATGTGATGAACGTAGAGAATTTTCTCCGAACTGAGTTTCTATTAAACGAAGTATTAAGATATTTCATTGCATTAAGATACACCGATGCGGGACTATTAAACGTAATCTTGTTCAGGATAAGGGGCTATCATCAATAACAACACGTTCGCATACTAGTCTGTCAGTTAAATGGCGACGCGACACTCATAAATCTTTCCCTGGCGAGATCATTCCATCTTACCACTCCTGCTTAGCGGTGAATTCAATTGCAAATTCCACCCTGATCCGATTGTCGGCTTTCTGTCTCTCATTTGTAAAGGATGCCAGCATTCCTACACTAGATAAACGATTAACAAATCTTGAAGTTACATGAAGGTATTCTTTCGACCACAATGTTAAGTTTAGTACTTATTCAGATGGGAGAATTAAAATTAATTAAGGATGGGGGTTGAAAAAATGCAAAAAACGATGAATAGGTACTAATTTTTGAGAAGGGGATAATTATTAACATCAATTTGATCGTTAATTATAACGCCTGATTAATTTAGATATCCTCAAAGATTTAATTTTATACTTTTCTTTCGTCGTGATTGAAAGAATGTGATTGTTGTAATAAATGTTTAGCATAAGATGAATAAGACATATTATAAAAATAGTTTTATCATGTTTGTTCATCCTCTCTTTAACGCATCTCTTTGTTTGGCCTATGTAGTCTATATTTCACAAATCCAATATTTATGTTTATAAACGCCCGATTTTGTATTTTGTTTATTAAATCTTTATTACTTTATTTGAAATTTTAAAAGGAATTAATTAATTAAATATCATCAGTGCCATCATTCACTGATTAAAGTTTAGTTCAGTGAAAATTGGACAGTCTGGGGAGGACAAAAGGGGGATAAAATCCTTATGCTTTTTTTTTATTCAGGTATGCCTTTATATCTATATATTTTTAATTAAAATATTACATGTTAATTTGAATTCCGAATTAGCTTAATTTTGCATGTTTCTTTTGTTTTTGTTATGTGTTGAGAAAGATTTTTTGGTTGCTGCTGCTCATTTTGCTTTCTATATAATAACAGCGTAAAATCGCGAATAAAACAATGCATAGGACATATTAGACTCAGAAGGGTACGTAATTCAGCTTTTCAGAAGCAGACAAAGGGTACCAGTCCGTGAAATCTACATGCTTTACAATTCGTATATAGCTAAGTCTCTTCGGTGTAGAAAATGCAGATTAAAGACGATGGCATGTCTCAATCCGACTTTAATTAAAGCTTAAACAGCTTTATCCCGTTTTCAGATGAACTGCTGGACGACAAACCATTAAAATGTCTGTTTGTTATTCCTGATTACTTACTTTTACGTACGAAAATACTTTTGTCAACACGTGGACAGATTAATGGAACACTTTCGCAATTTAGATGACTTCGTCTGGAATTGCGTTGCGGGAATTTGAAATCAGTGAGATTCGCCATTCCTTACATGCGATTTAGGATTCAGTTATCGATCGATTTTATTTGCAAATCATTAGTGGAACAAGAAATTTATTGTAGATGAAAAAAGTTAAATGGTCGTAGTCCCTGTACTCTATTTGGTACCTGAGAAAAAAATGTTCAGTCTCTCAGAGTCTCTGAAAGCGAGACTCGAGTAGCTCATAGAGAGATCCTCGTTTCGTATCCAGTTTCTGAACGAGAGACTCGAATCTCTCAATATGTGAGTGGTGTCTCGATAGACATGGTTAAAATTTTCTAAGTTCAACATATTTCAGAGATCCCAGTCTTTCTACGAGAGACTCGAGTCTCTCAATTTTTCAGTTTTATTCATTCAGTCTCTCTGTGAGAGACTCGAATCTCTGATTTAACAATTTTATCGTTCGATTCTCTCATACAGAGACTGCGAGAGATCCATAAAAACACCTAGGCAATAACTGAGAGACTGTGAAAAGACTGTGAGAGATGCTCTCAGAGACGCTGAAAGACTCTGAGAGACTGAAAATTTTTGTCTAGGGTAGGTACCTAGTGATAAATCAATCAATAATTGACAAATTGGTAAAAGGCTTACACGGCCAGTAGGTCAACTCATCAATTCAATCAATAATTATTTTGAATTTCATCGTTTCAATAAAAAAGTTAACTAGTATATTTGCAAAATGTCTTGTACACATGAAATTGTACATTTCAATGTAAATGTTTCTTTGTTATTTAATAAAATGCACTGTGATAACAGAAAAAAGTAGATAAGCTATGAGAATATGTACCCTGTTATTTATAAATGTATTTATTCACATTTTTCGTTGTAATATACAGCAATTTCGTTCATGAAACGGGAATTATATGAAAATTGTTCTGTTAGACGTCCAATTCACCCTGACTAATAGGCAATTAAGCAATGGCACAGGTAGCGAGTGTACGTTTTAGTGACCATTAAATATCTTTATTCGTACTTTTGCAGATATAAATGATTATCTCTGGAATATTGTTTATAACTACCGTTTTGAACTTCCGCAGGCTAAGCTAACGAAAAATGAAACAGTAGGTAAATGGTGAACACATGTATTTGCCTTATCGCTTAGTTATGGGCATTAATTTAGCATTCCTCTGTATAACTTCTGCACGATTTTGTCGTAAATTAAACTATAACGGTAGGGTATTCAGGTGAATTTTAAATAACCTGATAAGGTATAATACAATATAACAGTACTGCAACAGAATAATGAGACACGGCGGAAACATCTGTGTTAAATTGTTGAAAATATAAGTAACTACATACTTCTTTGCATTTAGATATTGTCATCATCTTCATTTTTCATATATATATATATATTAAAAGATGATAATAGCCAATATGATTGGCAGCATTTAAATAAGTTGTTTCGTTTTTTAAATTCATTTTAAAATAAGTATGTTTGAATAAG